TCTCTCTCTCTCTCTCTCTCTCTCTCTCGCTATCTCTCACTTGCTCTCTCTCTCTCTCTCTCTCTCTCTCTCTCTCTCTCTCTCTCTCTCTCTCTCTCTCTCTCTCTCTCTATCTCTCGCTCTCTCTCTCGCAAATAGAGGAGTGGAGAAGGTGGTGGAGGAGGACAAGGGGGGAGGTAGAGCGAGAGCGAGCATGAAAGAGAGAGGGGGAGAGAGCGTGGGGAGAAATATTGAGAGCGAGGGAGTGTGTGTGGGGGGAACCCGATATATATCTTATAGCTTACTCCTTATGATCTCGCCTCTGCGTGTCATAAGCGCATGCGTGTTCAACAGTTTATAACTAATGGCCGCATGATCTGATTGTGTCACAGTGGCCCAGTGGGTAGTACGGATTGTGTACAAAGTATCGCGTGTATACAGCTACAGTATCAGTGTCAAGTTGTAAGAACAAAGCAAGTAAAACAACGCGTGTGCGGTTATGCAAGGCAGCGCTAATCCACGCTGAACACAGCACGTGCACACGTTGGTCAGCTGATGGCTCGTCGTGTGCGCCAGGATTTAGATGACACTAGATATAGGATTAGATACTGAACGATCGTGATGCTTGGTCTGCTAATTAGTGATATCTGCATGGTCTGGTGTAAATATTGCAGATGGGGTCGTTGTCGTATCAGGTACTACAGATATGTACCCGAGGTAGTTTTAGGTTGTTTAGTATTATGTTTATATTTTTATATGAGATATGTTTAGGGTTAGGGTTAGTGTTAGGGTTAGGGTACACTTCTGTAGTACAAGTCTGGTACACTTTGTGTATACATATAATTATGTACCTCGGGTACATATCTGTAGTACCTGATACGACAACGACTCGATCCTTGAGCGTATAAATATTGTGTAATGTCTGCCCTATATATGCTTATACTTCACAATTGAATTACAAGCGAATTACTGTACACTACAATGATATATTAAAAAATCAATTTAATTTATCTATAGACAAGGGATTCATGGATGCTGTGACAGAACAAAAACAGCTACGCTCAGTTTCATCAGAGGACCACTGCATCAGAGATGTGCATGACAGCACACTGTATAAAGCGAGGGCAAACAAAATGTGTGACTCGGATTTGACATACATTTGGCATTTGGATGGTGTGGCAACGTTCAAGTCATCAACTCTGCAGCTGTGGCCTCTGGGAGCTTATATCAACGAGTTGCCACCAAAACTAAGGTGAGAATAAGTTTTTGACATGTACATGACTTAATTAATTGATTAGTTACAAAGTGCGAATATTACCGTGGTACCCCCCCCCCCCCAAATGCAGTGGCTATACGCATCCTGAACCGGTCGCCTAGCCTCCAGACTACGCATCCGGACATCGACTCACACAGGCGACAGCTAGGGAACAGGAGGGATGAAAAGAAGAGTAGCGTATATATCTGCAATGCAGGCGAACTGTGGTTTTTCTCCGTTTATATGGATATGTGAAAAGTTATCAAATGTTAATAGCTCACAAGAAATTAGGCCTGCCATATAGGCATAGATTATTATCAATGACTCCCAGTTGAACAATGCATTGGAAACAATCTCCTGCTCGACAGACTTGTACACTCAAGAATAAACTTGTGCATAGAGCCAGCTAGTGTTATTAGGGTGATGCTCCATTAGGAGCGTTCCCAACATTAATGTCGTGATATAAAAGAGATATAAAGGGGGGGGTGGATCGATATCAATGAGATATCAAGGGGGGTTAGATATGAAATAGATATCAAGGGGTGGGGGGGGTGGATCGATATCAATTAGATGTCAAGGGGGGGGGGTGGTTAGATATAAATAGATATCAAAGGCGGGGCTTATATTAGGGTATATAGAGGGAGCAAGCAACATTGGACTGCTTCATTGAGATTCATTGCATAAACAAGAGTACTTTGATGGCCGCATTGAGGGACAAAACTTTTCAAGCCATCTATCAACGTTTTAAACTTTCATCATGTAGAATCAATTGTAAGATTCATTAATTACTATTATAATTGTTTAGAATTTGATCTATCATTAGAAGACATCTGATCAGGTTATTCTATAAAATAACACGTCACCCTTTGCATAGACAAAGTGTTTTTTCATACGTACCCTCGATGAATCTCCACCCTGGTATGCAGTTTCGCAAACTGGCAGGCTGGGCGCG